AACCGAATTCCAGCGGCGCTCGATTCCAGTCGACATTCTCCGGTCTCGTTCGATTCCCACTGATATCAGTGAATACGCCGAAATCTGTTGCGGAAAAAATGTTTAGCATAACAAATTTCACACACAGATAAACGCAAGCATATGTGCAGTGAAAACAACACCGATTCGGAAGTAACACGCCAATAAAGTTCCAAAACATGACAAATTACGGTCAAACAAAGGTGCTCTATTTGAAATATCGACGTTTGAGTAGGTTTTGAATAATCGCATCACGAACCTAACCTTGAATTTGCTTGTAAATTTTATGGATTCCACTCAATCAATCAACTTTCAGTTCAATTAATCGCAATCAGATCAAAAAGCACACATCCCACAAAAATCACATACTATGATAGGCAAGCAGAAGTTCTCGGTCGGAAATGGCGACCGCAGCAAGTGGAAAATCTGACGGACATCCAGCAACAACGATCGGTCTTGACGTTATTGTCTCCATATCAACATAGTAGAACTGATCTGCGCCAAAAACGATCCCGTCGTTCATTGAAATAAGGCATGTGGCTGGCTCAACCGTTGAGATCAACTTGAAAAAAAAAAAAACATTCAAGCTAAAAAATCGAAACCAAGCTTTTCAAAACTTCTGATGAGCGGGGAAATCGCCTCAGATTGATTTTCTGTAAATTTATGTTCATTCACAACAATAATGAATAACCTTGAAAGGCGTGAATATGCCCAATCGTGAACTGTAATGAAGAATATGAATTTGATCAGGATCAGCAACACACAGATATCTGAAGATAGAGCAGAGATTCAGCACGGAACAACACCACAATGGGAAAGGGTATGGTGGCATTTCTCAAAAAAAAATATCAAATCACAACATTTATATTTTATTAATTAGTAATCACTTAATTCATTTTTTTGAATGGAAAACACTACCGCATGAAGTAAAAAATGAAAATAAGTTGCAAAAGAAATATTCGCAAATAAATGAAAGTTAATTGACCTGATAAGTTTACGTTGGTCAGTATGAACAGTGATCAAGTGACACGTGTTCAGATTCGCGATTACGGTCGGTCGGACAGTGGGACGATCGCATTTGAAACCAGCTTTCAGATCCGACACGTGCATTTGCACAAGCTGTCGTTGCAAACCACTAATCGCTATCAACATAT